CAGGACTGTGGGGAGGGGTCTCAGGAATTAAAGCTTGCTTCAGCTAGATGGATGCCTCATTTGCATATGACGCTGCCTCCTGCTGCCTCCTGCATGGAGACAGCCAACTAGACAACTTTCTCCCTACTGTGCCAGGCAAGATGGAGCCTGAATTCAAGCTCTTCCCTTACCCCTCCTTCCTCAGGTTCCTTTTTTCTTGCTGGTTTCTGGCTCTGACAGCACTCAGCAAGGATGGGGGCAAGCAGATGGTTCCCGGCACTGAACACCGGCCATGGGGATAAGCACTATGTCCCCTGTGCACAGGGTGGCAGAGAACCCAGGCCTAGAACTGTGTCACACTGAGCCTTCATTTCCTCTATGCTTGTCTTTGTTGCTGTTGTTTTGAGACAGAGTATCTCGCCCTTTAGCTCAGGCTGCCCAATTTCACTATCCTAGGCTGGCCTCAAATGAATTGTAATCCTCCTGTCTCAGTCTCCCACATTCTGGGGTGACAGGTGTGAGCCACCATGCTCAGCTAAGCATCCTCACTTTTTAAATGTAAAAATGGCACCAAGCAGTTGAGGGAATTAAACACCACAGAGTGCGGCTGTCCCACTCACATTCAGACAGGTCCTGTTGTTTGGTCCTGATGATTCACTGCTGGGCCTCAGTGGAGACTGGGCCATCCTTGGGGACCATGCCCAGTGTGAGGACTTGGGAACAAGCCACAGGCAGAACCCACAGGGCTGAAGGGGGTGGGGGCATCTGCCTTGCTTTGTACCCAAATGCTCAATGCTTTGTGACACAGCCTCCACCTGGCTTTCAGAGTGACAGAAATGGATTGGAGCCCATCTTCACTAGGGATCCTTGGCACAGCTTCTGTGGTGGCCCATGTTTCCTGAGTGGCTCTCTGCCAGGCTGGCATCCTGACTGCTGGGCTGTGCCAAGATCTTCTTACAAATCCCTGGAGTCTGAAGAGGGGGCTCTATGAAGTCTGCCAGCTCCTGTGAGCTCACATGCACGTTCGTGCACGCACACAAACCAGGGATTTGCCTTCATCCACGGCCCTGTTCACCAGTACTTAGGCACACAGAATCCTAGGTGTGTGCCAGTACAGAGGGTGGCTAGGGCACACCTTCTTCCCTCTCACTGCTGTCTGGGTGGTCAGGCACTTCCATAAAAATAGCTAATTCCAAACCAATAACGGCCCGTGAGATCCCAAAGCCTTGGTGAGACATGAGCATCGAGGAGGAGTATTGTCACGAGTGGGGTAGCATCAACATGGAGGGGAAGCATTGGAATGGAGGAGGAGCACCAGCATGGAGGGGGAGCACCATACCCAGTACCAGGGGAGAATGTTTTGAGGTGGGGAGGCCTCCTAAAGGAAGGGGCATTTGGAATGGATGGGATTTGTCAAGGAAAGGTGGTGTAGAAGGGAGACATTGCCCCAGGCTACAGAGTGTGTCTGAAGTGTCCCCACTGGCTTCAAAGGGAGAAAGCAGGTGCCAAGGCCAGGCTGGGCCCATGTTACACAGGTTTTTTGAATGCAAAAGTAAGGAGTCTGGTTAAACAGGAAGACAAGGGAGCCAGGGGCAACTTTGAGCAGTTGAAAGTCATGGTGGGAGGGCCTGGCAGCTGCTGAGGGGCTGAGGCAGGCTGGCACTGCTAAGGTCTGGGAAGAGGGTAGGATCATGTGGGCTCATTGGATTCCTGCCTTCTACCCAACCTGGGACAAAAGGGTGGGCGAGAACAAGGGTGCTGCTGAGTTGGGTTTCCTACATGCAACAGATGAGCCCTCAACCCCACGGGGCATGGCAATGTCTACCAGTAGGAGCAGGAGGAGGCTGGTCTAGAGCCAGCAATGGGTGGATTTGGGTTTGTCTTGTAAGCTTTCTTTTTATTTCCTGTGTTTACCTTCATGCACACATATACATATTGTGTATGCAGTTGCCCACGGGGATCATAGAAAGGCATTCTACTCCCTGGAACTGTTCTTAGGAGCTGCCATGTTGGTGTTGGAAACTAAACCAAGATCCTCTGCAGGACCAACAGATGCTCTTAACCCTGCGCCCTCTCTCCAGCCCTATTTTGCTTTTAATTTTTGGTAGTTTGTTTATTTAGTGTTTGTGTGAGAGGGAGTACACGCGTGCACCGTTACATACCAGTTTATGTAGTGCTGAGAAGCAAACACAGGGTCTCATACATGCTAAGCAAATTCCTCTACCAAACAATGTTCCCAGCCTGGATGCCAGGGCATGCGCTTTCTTGCTTAGCTCAGCAGGGGAGGAGCCGTTCTCCAAGACCACACCCAGGCTGGTCAGAAAGTTGCAAGGGTAACTCACTTTGGACTCCACAGGGATAGCAAGCTGGCTTCAAGGCCCCTTAGGTTTTGATCCCAAGATAGCAGACAAAAGGGAAAGCAATGAGACCTCCTGACATTCAGCCAGGAGCTCTGAGAAATGCTCAGGGCCCCAGAGTGAAGAGGAGCAAGGTGCAGGCCTTGGGGGAATCAGCCTAGCAGTGACTCCAAGGTTGGGCAAGGCAGCCCGGACTCTGACCTTATTGAAGGAGAGCCTGACTGGGGTGGGCCTGAGGACTTCAGAAGCTGAGCCAGCTAGAGCGAGGAATGCTGGGAACCAGGGAATTTTCCAGACCTGACAACTTTTCCTTGCCCGGGGCAATTATAAAGCCACAAATCACATAGAAATGGTGGCGTCAGCACCTTGGGGACCCTAATGGAATCCTGTGCCATAAAAATTCAATCAGCCAGCTGACCTGGCAGGAGCCTGGCCAAGGCAGTGAGGCTGGGGTGGATAAGGAGGCTACAGGCAAGAGGATCCTCAGAGTCTGACAGGCATCTCCCGTCAACCCGCCATGTTCAGGACTTCTGAAGCAGTCCTCTGAACTGACTAGGGTCAGGTTCCTCCTTAGGCGCTGAATCTCTAAGAGGTTCCACTGTGGCCTGGAGGGATGCTGGAGCAGGTTGGCGTGTTCTGCCTCGTGTGTGAGTGGCAGAGTGGGGTTGTCAGATTCCTTTGCACAGCCATTCCCAAAGCCCTGGGCACCAGGGACAGTTCCAGAACCATTGGGGGCCTCAAAGATCCCCTGTCATTCTAGCGCCAGGAAAGTAGAGGCAAGGAGGCAAGAGAATCAGGAATTCAAAAAAGGAACTAGAATGAGTTCCAGGCCTACCTGGGCTCCATGAGATTCTATCAAAGAGGAGGTGGGGGGACAGACAATAGGGACAAGGACAGAGCTAGGCCACCCTGGACAGCCCCAAAAGGCCAAGAGCACTTATTCACAGGATGTGACTTAACCATCCTTCAAGCCATCTCCCACCTCAGGAAAGGGTAGGAAATGATAGGAATCGCAATAGAGCTTCTGAGAGGACAGGGTGCTCCGGTTTCTGCATGTGTTCTGGGTTCTGAGAGGCACAGCTGTGTCTCAGAAGACGTGGCCAAGGGCAGAGGCAGAGAAGGGACTTCTAAACTAGTCTGGAAGAATTTAAGCTAAAGATCCTCAGCCTCGGGTGATTCATTTTAATTTTCATTTTATTTATTTCAGTGAGTGTTTGGCCTGCATGTGTGTCTGTGCACTGTGTGCATGCAGTACCTGTGGAGGCCAGAAGAGGGTGTTGTATCCTCCAGGATTGGAGTTATAGATGGTTGTGAGCCGCCATGTGGGTGCTGGAAACCAAGTGCCCCTAACTGCTGAGCCATCTTTCTAGCCCCACCAGGAAGATCCTTTGTTGGGGAACCAAACTCTACGTTGTGGTGTGTTCACCTGCTCTTTTGGCCTCCTCCATCAGAAACCATTAGCATCTCCCAGTATTGACATGTGAAAATGATTCCAGATGCAAGTGGTGATTTCTACCTATAATCCCAGCATACGGAAGGCTGAGGCAGATGGAGCACCATGAGTTCCAGGCCAGCCTGAGATATATAACATGATCCTGTCTCAATAATAATAGTGATGATTGATGATGATGATGACGATGATAATTTCATTTTAAAGGGAAAAGAAAGCAAGCCAGATGTGGTGGTGTATTCCTTCAATCCCAGCTCTCATGAGGCAGAGGCAGGTGGATTCTGCAAGTCTGAGGTCAGCCTGGGCTACATAACAAGTTCCAGGCCAGCCACACAGCAAAACCCTGTCTCAAGGGGAAAAACAAAAGCTGGAAGGAGGGTTTAGGTTAAGAGTGCTTGTTGCTCATTCTTGCAGAAGGCCTGAGTTCAGTGCCTAGCACCCACATTTAGCAGCTCGCAACCCAACTCCAGGGGATCCAGCGCCCTCCTCTGGCCTCTCCAGACATTGCACTCATGTGACACACACACACACCCATTTAACTAGTTCAACAAGGGGAAGGGGAAGGACAGGCAAGATAGTTCAGTGAAGCTGGATGGTCTGAGTTTGATACTAGAGCCATGGGTAAAAGGAGAGAACTGACTCCTGTACCTTGTCTTCTAACCCCCACATGCACCATGGCATGCACACATACACACGATAGATAGATAGATAGACAGACAGACATATAGATAAATGTATGTAAGTAAATGAAATTTTAAATCCTCCCCAAAAGGGAAAGCTGGGCATAGTAGTTAGTGCCTGCCGTCCTAATGGTTGAGGGATGGAGACAGGAGGATCAGTCAAGTGTGCACTGGGCTATGTGAGGCTGTCTCAGAAACAAAACAAAACCTAAGCAAGAACAACGCAAAAACATTTTAAAAGTTAAAAAACAAGCTGGTCGGTGATGGCACATGCCTTTAATCCCAGCCCTCCAGAGGGAGGGGCGAGTGGATCTCTGTGAATCTGAGGCCAGCCTGGTCTACAGAGTGAGTTCCAGGACAGCCAGGGCTACACAGAGTAAACTTGTCTCGATAAACATACAAACAAACAAGTTAAAAAACAAAAATGTCCCCAGGGAGCAGAGCCTCCTCCACCCCCGTGGGAAAAGCAGTTTGGATAATGGGGTGCCGATGGGTACTGCTCTGATGCTGCCATTTTTCTTTTAGGGAGAGCCAATGGCAGGGTGCTCGGTCCCCAAGCTCCCCATGCTGGTCCTGTTCCTCCTGCTATTTCTGGAGCTCCACGTGGCGGGCACCCTTGCATCTGGGTCCTCTGCCAGGAACCTGCCCGAACCTCACCCTCACCTCCCCAGCTCTGCCCGGTGGGTGCCTCATAGCCGACGGGGCCTGGGTAGGAAGGACAGGGGCTCAGGCATGCCAGGCCGGGCCCAGGAGGGGTCTGTGGTCACCACCCCCAGGCAGGCTTCCCGGATGACACTTGGACAGCACCCTGCCGGCCTTCTTCAGGACAAGGAGCAGCTTCTGGGGCTGGCATTGCCCTACCCAGAGAAGGAGCCCCGACCTCCCGGGTGGGAGAGGGTGAAGAAACGTGGCAGAGAACACAAGAGACGCAGGGACCGGCTGCGGCCGCACCGAGGTATCTGCAGATCCCTGGGGGCCCCGCACCGGGGAGAAGGCTCGTTAAGGCCCCGGAGAGACCATTCAGAGGCCCCCAAGGGATCGAAGTGGGCGCCCTGAAGAGGGGAGGCGTCTTACTAAAGTCAGTGTTCTGGCACAGAGAGGGGCCGGGAGAAGCAGGGGTGGGGACGTGGGGACGGAGGCGGAGAAGAGGCCCTGAGCATAGCCGCTCTGCCTCTTTAGGCGTCAATCTCCCTCCTAAGCCGGGGAAGCCCTACCTCGCATCTGACCCAAATCTACGCGGCTGTAAGCCCTGCGAACCGAGCAGCTGGGACACTTCTTCCCCCGCACACCCTTTAATGAGCTCTGGAACAGAGCTGAGCTTGGGCTCGGAAGTCAGATCTGCGGAAAGTGGTGTCACTCCGCTACTCACTAGCTTGCAGCCTTGGGCAGGTCGCCTTCCTAAGCCTAGGTTTGTCTCTCTGCAAAGTTGCTGCCCAACCTTGCCTTAGAGCTTAGGCTCAGGCGCAGGAGCAATTGCCACTGAACCCACAGCTCTCGAGCCAGCCTCCTCCAGCCCTGAACACCAGTGACCCCGTGTGGTGGTCAGCTGTCAGTCAGGGTGAGGAGATCTGGGGAAACTCTGGGATGGAGGATTCAGAGCAATCAGCCTGTGGCTGCTGGGTTGTGGGGCAAAGCATCGTGGGAGAAACATGGAAATGATGGCCTCATGGTAGCCGGTGGCCAAGAAGAAAAGGAGGAGGAAGAGAGAGAGGCAGATAGACAGAGAGAGGAGGGATGAGAAACGGAAGCGGGAGGAAAGGAGAGACAGCAAGGGAACACCTGGGTCCCCACATCCCCCTCAGAGGCACCTCCAGTTTGACTCAACTTTCTTCCACTAGGCCACACCTCCCAGAAGCCTGGCTGCTTCCAAGTAGAGCCATTGGCTGGAGAATCCATCTTTTTTTAAAAGATTTAAAAATTTTTTTTCTAATTATTCGGATATGTGTGTGGATAAGTGCATACGTGCGCAGGTGCCTTCTGAGGCCTCAGATCCCCAGGAGCTGGAGTTAAAGGAGGGTGTGGACTGCCTGAGGTTGGTGCTGGGAATCGAACTCAGGTCCTCTGAAAGAGCAGTACATGCTCTTCATTGCTAAATCATCTCTCCAGCCTCAAGACCATGCCCTGGATCCTCCCGGGACACCAAAAATGTAACCTGCGGTGTCTCAAGAGAGATGTCACCCTCCCATGCCTACCTCTGTGTTCACTTTCCTTAACATGCTCTGTGCCTCCATTCCCAGAATTCCTATGATCACCCAGGCTGAGCCTCCTTTGGCCCAAACAAACAGTCTCCAATAAACCCAAGCAGCCTCCCTCCACCCCAGCTGGCCCCTCCCCAGCCTCACCTGGCCTGGAGCCTGCACAGACAACCTGGCTACCAAGTCTTTTCATGGGACAAGACTGCTTTTGGGGGTGGAGTAACAGCCACAAATGGGCTGGTGGGGGTGTTTCTCCAGGAAGAAAGTGGAGTGTTCGAAGGCTCCTTCTCCTGCAGATAGTGAGGGGAAGGGCACTCGCCTCCCTGCCGGGTCGGCTGAGACCCCTACATGCCAAGGGCAAGCTTCAGCATAGGCCCTCCTATTCACAGGGCCTGGCTGTGGCGGTCCGGGAGATGTTGATGCCGTGAGGAACAGCAGGAGAGCCCTTAGTTCCCACGAAGCTCCCGGGCTTCAGTGCAGTGGCAGGGCCTCCTGAAGGAAGGTGACATGGTGGCAGGGGACAGATGAAGTCCACAGGCCAGGCCTCATCAGCATTTGTGAGGCCTCGGGCTGACCGGAGTTTATTTCTGCAAAGTGGGCGACACCAAAGGATCCAATAGCTTACAGCTGTGGCTTGTAAGGACAAGTTTAGATGCTCTCCCACCTTTGCCCCTGCGCCCCCTACCCCGACCCTGTGCTTCTGTTCTGGTCTCATTGTTTGTGACCCTGTCCTGACCCTGTACAGTTCCCTCCCCCTCTCACCGTCCCACACCCAAGTGTCTTTGAAGGTTAAAAACATTGGCTTTGGACTCAGGACCGAGGTTCAAATCTACGCTCTGCCATGCATGAGCTATGTGTCCTGGGTGAAATTGCCTAACCTCTCTGGCTTGGGCTCCTCCTCAGTAGCTGAGCAGCAACCCACTTCTCAGTGTTCCTGTAGTAGTTAGGTGAAGTAATTACCATGGAGTAGCTCACTGGGAACCCAGCATATCAGGTGTGTGATAAAGAAGTACGTTGGCTGGACAGTGGCACACTCCTGTAATCCTAGCACTTAGGGATGCAGAGGCAGGCAGATCTCTGTGAGTTCGAGGCCAGCCTGGCCTACAAAGTGAGTCCAGGACAGCCAAGGCTACACAAAGAGAAAGAAAGAAAGAAAGAAAGAAAGAAAGAAAGAAAGAAAGAAAGAAAGAAAGAAAGAAAGAAAGAAAGACGTTGATGGCTGCTCATCGTAACTGAGGAAGAGTGTGTGTGTGTGTGTGTGTGTGTGTGTGTGTGTGTGTGTGTGTAAGCAGTAGCTGTCCTGCCAACTATCTCAAAGGCTTCTCTGCAAGCATAAACCTCCATAAATCTCACCTCCTCCTTCTATGGGTTTTTTTGTCCCTAGTTACCTCCAGGGAACCTCTATTCAGGCTCTACCTGCCTCGTTTCCAGGTCTCTAGCTAGGTAGACAGCAAGGACATTGGCTAGACCAAGGGCTCATGCTGCCCAGAATGTTTTGCTTGCAGCAGAAAAAAACATACTGCCCTGTAGGTGTAGATAAGATGTGAACAGCAGCAGGCGGGTCACCCCATGCTTGCCTTGTCTCAGGCCGAGCCGCCATTCGCGGCCCCAGCTCCCTGATGAAGAAGGCGGACCGCTCTGAAGACCTGATGCTGGAGGCTGTCACCGAGGAGTCTTCCACCAGCCTGGCCCCCAGCATGCTCTTCCTAACCTCGGTGGATGCTGTCAGTCCTAGCACGGAAGAGTCCCGGATCCTGCCTGTCACCTCCCCGTGGCCCCAGGTAGGGGCCCCATGTGGCCATGAATCTGAACTCAATTCTCCCTTAACCGCCTGGCAGGGTTCTCTAGAGGAACAGAACTGATGGAATGAATGTATACATCAAAAGGGAATTTATTTGAGTGGCTCTACAGGCCGTGGTCCTGCTAGTCCAACAGCAGCTATGTCCTGACGGAAAGGCAAGAATCCAAGGCTGGATATCTCAGTGGGCCTTTGGTCTGTGTTGTAATCCTGAAGAAGTAGGTTCTAACACCAGCAAAGGAATGCCTCAGCAGCAGAGTAGATGAACTGGCCAGCAAGAGTAAGGGCAAGCAGGCAACAAGCAAAAGCTTTCTTCTTCCATGTCCCTTCAGTAGGCTGCCAGAAGATGGTGTAGCTCAGATTTAGGGTGGGTCTTCTCACCTCAGACATCCAGTCAGGAAAAATTCCTCACAGGTGTGCCCAGCAGCTCGGGTTTTAGCTGATTCACCCGTTCTGCTTAGGTAGCCAAGGCACAGGAGGGTGGTAGTGGAAGCCATTAAGCTTTGACCCCACCTGGTCTTTTGGCTGAAGAAGGGCTATCAACACCTGGAGGACACGGCCTTGGGGTGTGGGCTGGGGACAGCCAGGAAGCCAGTGCCACCTCAGCATGCTGGTCTCTGCACACACAGAGGTGGGATTCTTGTGGGGAAACTTTAAAGTTAGGGAGAGTTCGGAAAGCAGCCGCAGCGATTTAAAAACCCATGACCTAGAATGGCATAGGCCAGGCAGGAGACTTGTCTGTTCCCCAGCACTAAAAAGGTAAATGGAAGGTGAAGAGGGGGGCTCACACGAGTATGACTGCAGGTGGCTCAGGAGGGGTCAGGAGGGAAGAAGAAGGGGTCAGGAGGTCGCCAGCTCATCCTCTCCTGTGACTTAGAAAAGTCCTCTTTTTCGAGAGTAAAGTCATGCAGCACAGATGTTGTGGCTCACGTCTACAATCCCAACACTTGGGAGACAGAGGCATAACATCACCACAGGATTGAGGCCAGCCTGGGCTACAAAGTGAGACCCTGTCTCAAAACAAAGCACTGGTTTTTTTAAATTGTTGTTGTTGTTTTTTTAATAATTTATTTCATTTTATTTTTTATGTGCACCGGTGAGAGGGTGTGGGTCCCCTGAAAGTGGAGCTACAGACAGGTGTGAGCTGCCATGTGGGTGCTGGGAGCTGAACTTCCTCTGGAAGAGCGGCCAGTGCTCTTAACCACTGAGCCACCTCTCCAGCTCCCTGAAAAGCACTGTCTGTTTTCCAAATGAAGTAACACCATTGACATGCATCAATAATACATATTCTATACTGAGAACATAGAACACAGCGTGCAGCTCTGTTGGTAAAATGCTTCCCAGCACACATGAAGCCCTAGGACTGATTCCCAGCACTTCGTAAAACGGATGTGATGGTGCAGGCCAGTTATCCCAGCATTCAGGAGGCGGAGTCTGAGGATCAGGAGTTTGAGATTGTCCTTGGCTCCACACTGAGTTTCCAGGAAGCCTGGGCTACATGATATCCTGTTTTAGAAAGGGAGGAAAAAAGAAATGGAGAGAGAGGTAGAAAAGAGGCAGCCCACTGCTGTGCTGCTGTTTGGTGAGCTCTTGTTCATCTCCTGCTGTGCCTTGTTTAAACTGAAATTTTTTTTCACTTTAATTATGTGTGTATGTGGGGAAGGTGGTACGTGTACATGGGTGGAGACACCTTTGGAGGCCAGGGGCAACAGAGCCCTTGGAGCTGGAGTTACAGGCGTTTGTGAACTACCCAAAGTGTATGTTGGGGACTGAACTCCGGTCTCGTGCAAGAGCAGTGAGCACTCTCAACTGCTGAGGCAGCTATCCAGCCTTGATAGTGTCTCCTTTGCACACACGTGAGAGAGAGAGAGAGAGAGAGAGAGAGAGAGAGAGAGATCCATACAGGGTTTAGCTCTCCCAGGCATCACTGGCAGGTTGGATCTCATCTCCTGAGCTCCAGGAGACAGCTGTAGGTTTTCTGCATCCTCTTTCTTCATCTCTTGGTCCTGAGAGTTCGGCGAAAGCTGTGGCCATGACCAGTAGTTGTGGTCTGAACCCTAGTGGTCTTGCACGTGAGGACGCAGCCATGGAATCTGGTCCTCTGTAGAATCCAGGATATTGGTCAGGGCTGTGAGTGGAATCGAGGCCTGCATGTGTCTCCACAGTGGGAACACAGAGGAAGGGACAGAGAAACCAACAGTGGGGCCACTTCTGCCCCCTCCCTGATGCCTTTAGAAACGCTGAGCAGATAGACTCAGTCTCCCTAGCTGATTCCGTGACATCTTCAGCATGGATTCCGTGATCCAAGTGCAAAACAAGGTGCCCTCGTCCTTTGGCCTCTGGCCTTGAGAGCCTCTGTTCCCACTGCCTCACATGGAAAGCTCTAGGTCTCCTCGTCTTCTGCAGATACAGCCCAGGTCTGATGGAGAAGTGATGCCCACGCTGGACATGGCCTTATTTGACTGGACAGATTATGAGGACCTAAAGCCAGAGGTCTGGCCCTCTGCAAAGAAGAAAGGTATGTCCAGCTTGCCACCCCACCCCATGCTCCGACTCCTCTCTCCAGCATCTATGAGTGCATCACTGTAAGCTGGACCTGACACTCACTGCAGCAAACAGTATCTTGTGCTTACTGTCCGCTAGTCAGGTCCCATGTCCCTTACAGGGAGATGGGCTATGGGGTATACACTGTGGGCTCCGCTTCAGGGAAGAAAGGGAAGCAGAGAGAGTCTTGTCCAAGTCACAGTGTGGGAGTGGCCGTCTGGCCCTGTGACACCCAAGTCTTGTGCTTAATCTGACCACTAATTTCCTTGTCCCCAGAGAAACACTGGAGTCACTTTACCAGTGACGGCAATGAGACCTCACCAGCTGAGGGGGAACCATGTGACCATCACCAGGATTGCCTGCCAGGTACCCTGGTACCCCAATACCCACCCCTGAGGCACCAGGCTTGGAGGGAATACCAGCAAGGCAACTGAGGCAGGGCTTCCAGCATGGGAGCAAGCCTGAGGGTCATAACCCTTTGTGGACAATACGTAGCAGCTACAGTAACCACTAGCTTCCTGAGGGCCGTTATCATCAGCCACCAATTTCCTGAGAGTCACTACTATACGCTAACTCACAAAACGGCATTGCAGAGAGCTCGGGTGAGAAGGAGAGTGGGCAGGCCTGACTGACTTAGCTCTCAGACAAAGTGAGGCAATTAAGCCCCAGAGAGGCAAAAGGCCCTTTCCAAGGTCACACAGCCTGGGCCAACTTGGTTCCTCAGCTTCTTACCAGAAGCCCATCCTGCCTTGAGTCCGATGATCCACTCCTGACCTTGTCCTTGAATTAACACCCACAGGGTTTAATTTAGTCCCCTCTCATGGCACCGCCTGGCTTTCTGGGAATGGGTTCCATGACACCTTCACCTGTTCAACTGCTCTATTCATCATCTCAGCAGGATAAATACAAGAGGCTGATGTTTGGCTGGAGTCTAAACTGCTGGCCCTGTGGGATCCAGTGGACCTCCCAGAGTAGACTCGGAGGTGGAATTAGAAGCTGTGGTGGGATAACACCTGTCACCAAGCACTTGGGAGGTGGAGGCTTGAGGATCAGAAGTTCAAGGTCATCCTGGTCATACATGGGGAGTGCCAGGCCAGAACCTGTCTTGAGGGGTTACTCTCTGAGGCATTGGTGGTGGGTAACAGTTATTAAAGGCAAGAGAGAAAACAAGTTGACAGAGAAATCTTGGGTCTGATGTCATACTGGCTGAAAGGGAGCTGTGGAGAAAAGCCTTGCCTGTCAGGGAAGCCCCATGATGGACAGAGTGCTGGCCCTGGTTTCTGCTATGCTGGCCGTTGTCTGGAGCTGCTGAGGAAGTGGTGGTTGGAACATGGGCCAAGGTGGCCCCTGAAACTGCCCTCAGCAGGAGACCAGTGATGTCTCTTTTTGCCACTAAATAATGAGTGTTTTGGGAGATGGGGACAGAGAGACGCAAGCAGCCATCTCTATGGCACCATATTAGCAGCATATTCTGCAAAATAGTAGCCAGTTGGCATTGTAGAAGACAGACACCAGCCCAGACAGGCTGTCTCTTCCTACATCACTGTGAAGAAAAGGCTAGAATCAGGGCTGACAGGATGGAACTTGGAAGCTAGCTCTGTAGTGGCCAGAGATGCCTCAGGCCTGCGTAGGCTAGCCAAGCCACCCAAGCTTCAGTTTCTCCATCTGTCCAAGGGGATGTTGGAGTCCATGATCCCTGAGGTCCCTCACAACTCTCAGCCGACTCCACCTCTGGTACACCCCAGCTACTACAACCCCATCCTGGGAGGTGAACCCCACACCACCTTTGATCCTCACATGATCAATCAAGTGGCCCATCTGGGGAGGCTCAGTTCTCTGCCGCTTGCCTCTGGGGGCTTCGTCCGTGACATCCAGCAGCAGTCCCGGCCCAGAGCCTTGCACACCAGATGGCCTGGTAGGGCATGGCCTGCCACACGTTTGATGGATCTCCTGTCCGGTGGGACTCCGCAGGGCGGCAGGGAGGAGCCGCTCGGCTTGGCTGACCACATGTGGCTTGCTGTGTTGCCAGGAACTTGCTGTGACCTCCGGGAACATGTCTGCACGCCCCACAACCGCGGCCTCAACAACAAATGTTTTGATGACTGTATGTGCATGGAAGGTCAGTCTGGACTCTGGAAGGGGGACAGGTGCCCCCAGCCCCGACACACACAGTGCTCCTGGAACCATGAAGCCTTTGTTGTCCAGCCAGCTCTGCAATGAGAGGGGCATGAGGTTTCCTGGCAGAGGGTGGATGTGGGTGGAGGGGCCTGGGAAGAGGGAGTGGGCAGGAGAAGCCCCTGGGAGCTGAAGGCACCAGTAGGAACAGCTTTGCTGGGGCCTTCCAATCTGCCAGCTCCATGCGTCTCCTGGCATCATCTCTCAGATTTGTATTTCTCGACTCTTGAAATACAAGCTGGTGTGATCACTCGGGATCAGGACTGGGAGAAGGGAGGAGACAAAGGTGTATATCTCTTTAAAGAATATCCAACCTGAGAAGGCAGCAGCTTCTCAGCAGAACTCTAGATAGGAGTGAGATGGTGAGGAGCGGGAGCTGGGTGGGTTTCCTGGCAGTCACAGGGAAGGGTTTACTGTTTAACACCCTAGCATCCACCCCAGATGGAAGGGTGTGTCCAGTGCGCACACATGTCCATTGGTGCCGGCTCTGTGTTCAGTCCTTTCTTCCCTGGAAATGTTCTGAGGCAGAGATGTGCTGGGTTACACAGGCTGGCCTCAAACTCATGATCCTCCTGCCTCAGTTTCTCATGCAGCTGGAATTGTGGGTCTATAGCACTACGCCGCTGGCTCTCTCTTTCTGCTTCCTTCTTTGTTTTTGGAGGGGGTGGTATTTTATTTTATCACAGAAAGGAGTGAGGAGAGAGAGGGAAAAAGAGGAGAGGAGAAAAGAGGGAAAAGAGAAGGAAATGAAAAGGAAGAGAAATAATTGGCTATGGTGGAACACACTTGCACAATCCCAGCCCTTGAGAGGCTGAGGTGTGTGTGTGTTGGGGCAGGGAGGATTGTAAGTTTGAGGCCAGCTTAGAGTACACATAACACCTTGCTAGGAAAAAAAAAATAAAGCAGAGCTAGGAATTGGCTCAGCATGTAATATAGAGGGCTTAACCTGCAGGCCTGATGCCCTGTGTTCATTCCTGGAACCCCTGTAAAGGTGGAAGAGGAGAACCAACCAAAGTTGTCTTTTGACCTTCACCTGCACTGTGATATGTGTGCACATTTGCTTATACGATAAACAGAATAATTAAATAGAAGAGACCAAAAAAAGAGGAAAGGGATTTAGGGAGGAGGGAATGAGGGGGAAGAGAAGAGGAGAGGCGAGGAGAGGGGAGGGGAAGGGAGGGAGAGGAGAGGCGAGGAGAAGAGAGGGGAAGGGAGGGAGAGGAGAGGAGAGGAGAGGAGAGGAGAGGAGAGGAGAGGAGAGGAGGAGAGAAAAGAAGGGAGAGCAATGATGCCATCAGCCTGTGATTCTAGCTGTTTGAAAGGCAGGAGGGTCATGCTTTTGGGGCTAGCCTCTGCAACTGGCTCTGCCTCAGAACTTTTTTTTTTTTTTTTTTTTTTTTTTTAGACAAAGTCTTCTCAGGTAAACTTGGCTATCCTGGAACTCACTCTGTAGACCAGGCTGGCCTTGAACTCACAGATATACAACTGCCTCTGGGGATTACAGGTGTGTGCCACTGGGCATGGCTTTAAAGAAAAAAAATTAAAAAGCTAGATGAAGGAGAAAGGTAGAAAAATAATTTTAATTGTGTCTTCAGAAAATTTTTCAGAGCCACACTAAAGTAGCCATGGCCTCCGAAGCACCAGGTTCCCGTCACTGAACATCAATAAGGACCAGCATGTGGCCCTGTCACCTCCACACACTTCCCTTGTTTTGATATAATCTTTATTTATTTATGCAATATTCATTTCAGCACGCAACTTTGAGAGATAAGCACGCTTTTAAAAACAAGGTGTCTAAACTGACAAGTCAACCGATACTTAACCTGCATTCCAGGCTCTGAGGATGGGATCTTTCCCAGCAGCTTTGTGAACCTGAGTCACACTCTAAGTCTAGTTCACAGCAACAGGAGAGCCTGCACCGCCATCTCCACTCCTGTGTTACATTCCAGTGAGATGAGAAGACCAGAAACAAAGCCATAGATATGCTCGCTCTGGAGCCAGGCCTGGAGCCACACGCCTGTGCCTCTCAGCACTCCAGAGGTAGAGAGATAGGAGATTCATGGGTTCAAGGTCATCCTCAGGTACAGATGGAGTCCCATTCAGGGAAGCCTGGGTTATAGAGGGCTTTGTATCTATCCCAAACACCCTTCTTCCACCCACCCACCCATCAAAAAGGAAAAAAGAGAAAGAAAAGGTCCTGGAAAGTCATAAGTTCTGTAAAGAAAGCCTGGGAGGTTGGTAGGTGCCTTGCAGGGTGTTATATAGAGTCCTTAGGAAGAAGGGAAAGAGTGGGTGATGGAGGTAGAAAAATGGGCCCAAGGGACTCTGATAGGAGGCAAAAGGTAAGGGCAGGGACCTTGGGCAAGAAGAGTCTGGCATGGCAAATAGTGACCCCTGGAGAAGGTTACGAGGGAGATGAAACTTCAGGAAGAACTGCCCTGACTTTGTGGCCCTTGTTTGGATTTTGTTTTGTTAGTGATTGGAAGTAATGCCCACCCTTAAGCACAGGAGTCAATGGTCTGTCCTCTGGACTTAAAAGATCTGTCTGTGGCTGACAGTGAGGCTCAGCTTGGCTTGCTTAGCACACACTAGGCCCTGGATTCTAGTCTAGTGCCAGTCAAAACTGGGTAGGGCACTATCTAAGCACTTGGGAAGGGAAGGCTGGGGGATCTCGAGTTCAAGGTCATTCTCAGTTGGCCAGTCTAGAATACATGAGACCCTGTGGCCGCAGAGAAAGTTATCTCTAATTGCAGGGCTGGGGACAGTTGAGGACGGGGAACAGGCTGGAAGGGTAGAAAGGTAGAGACTGACAGAGTGAGGACATCTTGTAAGATGCTGTTCCCTGTGTTCAGAGCATAGGCCAGTTCACAGAGAAGGGACGGAGCCCTGCGGATCCTCCTGAAGTATTAAACCCAGGGACCAAGGCTGGAACTCAGCAGGTCAGGCCAGCCAGGGGGTTGGAAGCTCCCAAGGGCTTCCGTGGTCACTCAAACGTTCCTGCTCCTGACTACTGTGGCCAAGTGCTGAGCCTTGGAGCCAGGGCCTGCTTAGCTGGCAGAGTGCTTGCCTATCTGCTAAAAGCCTTGGGTCCCCCACCCCGGACCCTATGAAACTAGGCTTGGTGGCACACACCTGTTATCCCAGTTCTTGGAGATAGGAGGATCAAGAGTTCAAGGTCATTCTTAGCTACATAGCAAGTGTGAGGCCAGCCTAGGTTATTGAAACCTAACAAACTCTAGGCTTCCAATCACAAACTTCCGAGCAGCCCCTTTGCCCTCCAGCTGATGATGTAAGTGGATCATGAGATACCCTTGACCCCTGTGGTCACTCTGACCCTGAGATGCAGGGGTCTCTTAGGCCACAGGGATATCTCTTTCCCTGTGATCAGGAGGATGTGACCTACCAGGACCTTAAATGAAAAACATCTAGTCACATCTCAGGTTGACTAGACAGACCCAATAGACAGAGCCATGGGCTGTGTGTGTGTGTGTGTGTGTGTGTGTGTGTGTGTGTGTTTGCATTTATGTATGTATAGGATATGTGAGTGTGCTTGTGTATAGGTGTGCGTGTGCCAGGCCCGTGTGTGGAGATCAGAGGACAACCCTAGGTGTCAGTCTCTGCCTTCCCCCTCATTTGAGACGGGTCTCTTGTTTGCTGCAGTGTGTGCCAGCTTGCCAAGGAGTCTCCCATTGTGTCTTAGAAGTTTTGCAATCCCTTGCACGGACACTGCCAAGTCCAGCTCTTTAGAGGGGTTCTGGGGACCTGAACACGGGTCCTAATGTTTGTTGAACAACCACTTTACCTCTGGGATATCTCCCCAGTGGGTGAGAGATTTGTTTTCTTGCTTCCTGGGCCTCGTGCGTTCTACAGTTGACCTGCAGCCTCAGTCTTTCATTTGCTCATTTATTATTTTTATTATTATTATTATTTTTTTTTTTTTTAGTTAGGGTCTCACTATGTAACCTTGGCTGGCCTAGAACTTGTTCTATAGACCAGGGTGGCCTCAGACTCAGAGATTTGCTTCCCAAATGCTGGGATTAAAGGGTGGGCCACCATGCTCAATTTTTTTTTTTTTTTAAACAGATGAAGTCGTGTGTAGTTCAGTGATAGTGTATTGAATATTCACAAGCCCCGGATTCAACATTTAGGTTTTTTGTTTGTTTGTTTGTTTGTTTCTCTGGCCGGCCTCAAACTAAACTCAAACCTACTGCCTCAGCCTCCTGAATGTTGGGATTATAAGCCTCTGTGACCAGCCCAGTTCTTTAAACGTCTTTTCAGACGCGGTGGAGTTGAGGGACCATCTGTGCAGGATGGAGGGGAAGAAAAGGGAAGGACAGTCACCCTCAGCTCTGACTCCCTTGCCTCCTTCCACTCAGGGCTGCGTTGCTATGCCAAATTCCACCGAAACCGCAGGGTCACTCGGAGGAAGGGTCGCTGCGTGGAACCTGAGACAGCCAACGGGGACCAGGGATCCTTCATCAACGTCTAGCGCCGACGTCGTGCCTCCCCACCGGCCCGGGGTCTGAGCCAGGGAGGTGTGGACAAACAGGACCTTGTTAGTAACAGCTCGGCTTGGGGCTGAGGAGGGGAACCGATGGCTGTTGCAGGAGCTGGTCTAGTACGCTTGCCCCCAAGCGGGAGGGCGGCTCGGCTGAGAGCCGCTGTGCACCGCGCCCGCCACCCACTGCCCACCGCTGGCCGCGCTGAGACCCACACAGCTCGCGGATCCTGCTCTACGCGGTGGCAGTGTCGAGCGCGCCCTCTTCCGCTCGACACCAGCATTGTAGCATTTGGGAAAGGGGAGGTTTCCGGTCCCTGAAAGGATTGGGAAGACAGGGGACACCTGATTGGAGTGGATCTGGAATGCTGTCACAGGCAAAGCACCTGTGCATTTTTCCTGAATTTCCACAGAGAACGTGGTAAGAGAGCACTGAAGCACACCTGATTTGCATGACGTGTGAGGGTCGCACAGCAGCCACGATCCAGTTTGGGCGGCAGAGAAACTTGATTTGACTGACCTCAGCCTTTCCCAGCAAAGGTTTATCGTCTTCTTGAGAGACAGAGTCTCGCTCTTTGGCTAGGCCAGAAACCCCGACAATCCTCCTGCCTCAGTCCTCCAAATACTGGGATTATAGGCGTGGGTCAGCATGTTTGGCAGGTCCTTTAGAAAGGAAACATTAGGGCTTGGATGTGGCTAGGTTTGTAACATGCTTGCCTTGAGTTGGTGAACCCTGCCCGGGCTTCCACCTTCAAGCATGGTGTCTAAGAAGGCGAGCAGAGGCAGGAGGAGCAGAAGCTAAAAGTCATCTTTGGCTGCATAACAAGTGGGGGCAAGGCTACAGGAGACTTGAGCAAAACAAAATAAGCCGTTTGCCTAGGCTGCACAGGCCCTGGGTCTGATCCCCACTCTGTCTCCTCCATTCCCTCAGCCCCTACACAGGGCACCTGCCTTCAGGTGAAGAATGGTCCCCGTGGATGGATCCTTCCAACTGACAGGTGCCAATCACAGTCATGAAGGGACTGGGGAAGCAGTAGCTTCTCTCTTGGACCCATGGCCCTGACCATCCAGCCCGGGGACACTGGGGTATGCCCTCCTAAGCTGTCCTCGGACTTTCTACCCCCCTGGAAAGGCATGCCCATACGCTACCACGTGCTCCCCTGACATACTGTTTAGTGATTCCCAAACTCCCTGAGACCATCTCTGGACTCCATCCCTCCGTGTCAGCAGCAATGCCCTTGGAAAGTGGGGCCACCTCAGACTGGGGCACAGTGTGAAGCACCCCCACAGGCTGGAATCCTGATGATAACCCCACCATTACCATCACCACCCAGAACATGTGTCAGCAGATCTGGCCCGAGGAGCTTTCTCAGGCTCCTTTAGATCCCTGCACCTGGCATCCCGACCTCCTGGTTAACTTTTGCGAAGGACAAAAGCCACCCCTGCCCAAGCCCTCCTCAGCCTGGACCACATCCATGGGATGTCAGGGCTGTTTACTGCTCTGGGGTAACCAGTCTGGTCCAGGGATCAGGTACCAAGGAAAGCAGGCAGATCTAGAAGAAATCAAATATGCTTGTTCTTCTTTCCCAAGCTGGGTCTGATAGGCCTGGGAAAGAAGGGGGGGAGGGGGCAGGGCCAGAGCCGGCAGGATCAAAGCAGCAGTGGGAAAGCAAATCCTAATACAGATTTATTTTCCTTTTTGTAGTACCAGGACCTTGCATGTTCCAGGCAAGCACTATGCTGCTGACCTACATGCTGACTGGTCCAGGCTTCATCTCCAGAGCTCCCCAGGGGGGCTGCCATGGCAGCCAGGGCTAAGAACCCTGCGCCTCTGTCCTCCCAACTGCTGTAAACAGCCTGCTTCTCCTCTCATGTTTTGCTGACCTTAGGGAAGTTACTTCAGGTCTCTGTGCCTTGACTTTTCATCTGGGAAATGCAAATGCCTGATTCTTAGCAGGTGTTTAAAACAGTGCCTGGCCCATAACACACACGCACACACACCTAGAGTGCCAGTTAAGCAATTTCAGCAATCCAGTCCTTCTCTTCCACAGTGATCCAACACTTACTCAAAAAAGAAAAAAAGAAAATTGGTGTCTCACTATACAGCCTTAGCTGGCCTGAAATTCGGGATGTAGACTGGCTTGGCCTGGAACTCACAGAGCTCTGCCTGCCTCTGCTGGGATTGAAGGGCTGCCTCACCACACCCAGTTCAGGATGCTTTCTTTGGTTGCTCCGAAGGGAACTTCATCAATCCCAGCACTCGGGAGGCAGAAGCAGGTGAATCTCTGTGAGGTTGAGGCCAGTCTGGTGTACATAGAGAGTTCCAGGGCAGCCAGAGCTATGTAGAGAGACCCCCACTCAACAAACAGCAACAACAAGAAAATACAAACTACACTCCACAAGACAAATTCATGGCTCTGGGGAAGCATCCAGATTCCCACCCTGAAGCCGAGCTGGAAGAGCTGGTGGCTGTGCAACAGGTTTGTGAGGGTAAAGGTGGCCCTGGTGGAGGGCTGAGCGGGGAGGGGCAAGAGGAGGCTAACAGCGGCCCAGACAGACACCTGAGCGAAAGCCTCAAGGACACTCTGACAAATGCCCACTGTCTCCAGACAGGACTATTTTTTTTCTGCGTGTTTGGTGATAGGAAAGGTTGTTCTACTCCCATGGCTGGTGCAAAGGGCTGAGGGTCCAATGAATGGAGATGCAAACTTCAAAGGAAACCTTCAAAGGCCCTTGCCTGCCCTTTAAGAAATTCAAATTCCAAAAGCACGCCTGTTCTGCCACAGGCTGGCAAGGCCTTTCCCAAGCCTCCTTCAGCCGCTCCCAGGCTCCCTCTGCAGCTGCTGACAATGAGCATCTAAGTTACCTACGAGGGGTGTGTCTAGAAACTAAGGAACCAGGAGCCCTGGGTGTCAGGAAAGAGAGGTTCTGAGAGGCCAATAGCTGAAGGCTCCTCTTCCGGGGTTCTTGGAGCTGGACTAGAATAACACTGGCCTTCCATTACAGCCTTCATGCTCACAGACCATAGTGAGTGTGTGTTACAGGCCACACTGATTGTGTGCGCACAGAAAAGGTGGTCAGGGTGAGCTGGATGCGTGCAGAACAAGAGCTTTACACTGCGGGAGTGAGGTTTCCAAATCCCAAGGAAGAGCAGGATCTGGGACAGATCCATGGCCAAGCTCCTTCTGGTTGCTGAGGCCCAGCAATCGCCTGGGAGTCTGGTGAAGCACAGCTTCCTTCCACCATCCCCAGGCTCCTTCTGCGGCTGCCGACTAGGAGCATCTGTACGAGCTGCAATAAGCATGTTTAGTAAGTAAGGAACCAGGAAGGAGTCTTGGGTGCCAGGAAAGTGGGCCCCACCCCACACCTACTGAACCACAGCACAGGAGTGCCCCCACCCCTGGCATCTGGCTTCTAACACATTCTCCATTCTCTTGGATGTGGTGGGTATCATAGGTCCGGGATACAGACAGAAGATGGATGCTTTTGGGGGAGGGACACTTGCACAATCCAGCCTTCCTGCATTCACTATGGCTTGATGATTCTGAAGTCTGCGTCCCAGCAACTTACCAACAAGGACAAGCTCTACGATCCAAGACCCGCCTTCTGGGCTGTCATCGGGCTCTGCTTGGAGGACCCCAGGTAGGGCTCCTAGGCCTGGAGCCTCCATTGTTGAACTTTTGGATTCTTGGAAAATTCCTGGGAGCGCTGTAGCTCCTCCTCAAAATGTGGGAGCAGCAAGGGAGGGGTGCTGTGCCTTGGTTTATGATGCCATGTTGCATGTATTCTCCAAGCTGTAAATAAAGAGGGGACAGTTGCTAAGCCACTTCTTGTCCCTGTTCTTCAGGGAGATGGTCTGGCTGGCTGGCAAGGAGCATTGCCAGAGCCTTGAGAGGGTACCCTATGTGTCCTGTAGTCATTTCCTATTCATTGACTCCACGTACTTGACTGAGTGAGCAAGCAAGGCAAATGTGGTCCCTCCCTCACCTGGACCTCATCCATCACTTGGGTCCTTTAGTTGGCTATCCGGGTCTGCAGGGTTGGAGCAGCTGGGCTTCCCAAAGGGACGGAGGGACTGGCCACAGCAGGCTGGCCAGCAGCAGCCACCAGCGTCGGCATGGTGCAAACAAAGCACTGTCGGTCCTGCAAATCAAAACGACCCTGAGATTTCACCTTACGCCCTTGGCAGGGCCTGGGAAGGCTCGGATGCCATCCTGGGAAAGCTCGTGGGCTGCTGGCAGTGGCCCTGCTTGGCACCCAAGAGGACATCTCTTATCTGGGTGCCGTTCCTGCCAGTACCACCCGTCTGCTCACCAGGTCCTCTCAGTTCTGGCTGATCACAGTTCTGGCTCCAGCGGCAATTACTTTGATATCCCGAGGCTGAGCCTGAGCCCAGACACTTTTAGAGCCTGGTGTTCCTGAAAGACTTCCCCTCCCAGCTGGGCAGAGTGGGTGGGGCTACCAGCTTTCCCAATTCTAGGGTTTCTTAAATCATGGGCCCTTCCATCCGACTCCAGCATCATTCAAGATGACACAGGGCCTCTGGCTCTGGCTCTAGAGTGCTCCTAGACCTTGGCCCGTTTTGTTTTAGTACTACAGAGCCCTACACCAAGCCCCTCTTACTGTGTCCCTGCCCAGTGAGCCAAGATACTCCAGCTGAGGGCGGCTCTAGGAGACCAAACCCAGAATGCCCCATTCCTACAGACATGAAAAGTCATGCCCTCTCTATTCCAATTGCCATTGGGTGGCATGGAAGCAGATGCTGTGTGCCAATAAAACTTTATTGCCATAAAAGAGCAATGGGCCAGATTTGGTCTATAAATTACTCACTGATCTTGGACCTCTAGTCAGTGGCTGCAGAAAGGCCTATGGCTTCCTAACACGCTTTCTGTTGTTTTGGAAAGCTAACTTAAAAATCTGTTTCTAGCTATTAGTGGTCCTGAGATAAAGGACCGAAGCCAGAGTGTCAGCAGCCTCAGGCTACAGGCCTC